CGCCTTCAGTATTCAGATGAGGCAGTAGACGGCAACCTAATTGAACACCACGGGTCTCTTTAGCTATTCGAAGGGGATTGGTTGGTGGATATGGGAAAGTTAACACAGACGCCATTGATGATCCGTAGATAAGATCAATATCGGCAAGACAACCATCATATCCGGAAGACGAGCGAAAGTGTTTTCGAAGGTCACCAGCACTATAATAAGACGATATGAGTCATTATAATTCAGCAAAAAGGCTCAAGTTCAACCGTAAAGAAATAAGCAGTTACACGTACTCCAAGGGAATTCCTCCCAAGTAGAGCCGATCAAATGTGTGCGTAGAAAACGTTTCTTGACCTTCAGTTAGTCCAGTTGGAATATATTTTTTACCGTCCACCTCCAATTCTAACTTAAATATTTCGTCAGCACATAGATGGATCTAAAATTACCGAAACAAATTTATTTAATGAGCAAATATGGGCATGTTGGGCTTTAACTTCAAAAATGTCAAGTTTTATTACAATGTTCTTGATATGGTATTTACAGCCTAAGATAATTAATCTCCATAAACTAAGCACCACTCTGATAAATTGTATGATATTCATAAGAGTTGAATGTGAAATGCCGACCAAATATTCCCAATTCCTTCGATGAAAAGTATTGGGAAAATTTAACACGCCATTTAAACTGATAAGGGCAATTACTTTACTATTGGTGTTCAATGAGTGAACATTAACGCAGTCTGATAGTATTCCATTTAAAGTGAAAAAAACTGGGCAGATGAGGAATAATGCATTCAAAATGCTTCAGAGTTTCCTGTTCATGCTACAACAATTTTGCTCAATTTTCTTTCTGGTTTGAAGGTAGTAAAACTATAGGTTGCGAAAATGGTATTTCCCTATCAATGATTCCATCTAAATTCTATGACGAGTGTTCATAGTATGATTAAAATCAATCATTTCTCATTAATCACAGTCATGACAGATGAAAATTAGGAGTGTTATCATATCTGGCTATAGTTAATGAGCATTCAGTGCTCATAGATTCTCGTTTTAAATAAAGGAGGATTTAAAATTTATGGTGTCTGAGTTAAGATTGATTTACTTTCCAGACGCACGAACAAATCTAATATAAGGCACTAACAGGGAGAGAATATCGACTGTTTGAAAGAAAAGAGAGTATGTCACAGATTTACTCATCCTCCTAAACATTTTTCACTAAGGAAGTACTGTTCACAACTCAGGAATGTGATAAATTGATTATGAACCGAGGGATGAGTCATGTATATGAAAAATATATTCAAAACTGATAGGCGAATTACGAATATAGATAACGTAAATGTGAATAAAGTTCCCCAAAATTATTCATTAATTGTTTCCAGAGTAATATAGAATCGATGTAATATACGAAAATTAACAAGTTGCGCCCTGTAGGTGGTCTTATGGTTGTTCGTGCTTCTCAGGGCGTGTAGCCAGTTAATTAGGGCGATAGGTTAACAATCAACCGCTAGGTAATACAAAAAGACGTATATTCATTTATATGGTAATTGGCAAATTTAACAAAGATGCCTTTCAACTTATTTGATCTTATTGAAGTGCAGCCATATCCAGATATAAGTGGAAAGTAATGCCAGTGGGTGACTAACTCTACACAAAAACTGTGAAATCATCGTTGGATGCGAATGGTAAGCATAACTACAGCTAGACCTATTTGGTAAGTAGCTATTCCTGCACACCTATCCATTTAGGTGAATATTTTAAGTAAAAGCAACAATTTCTCAAATAAATGAGAGATTCTGCAATATAAGTTGGATGAGATATGTCACACACATAGAACACCGTTTCACACAGATTTGGAGGAAAAATACTGATTATTTCCTTTGCATAACGCTCATTAATATGGTTGACAAAGAAATTTTGACTTACGGAAGGGAAGTTGTTAGTCTAAATTAATGTTTTTACAAAAAACGAATTGTGTTCATCGTATCACGAATAACCGTTATACTTTCAACAAGTGACTTTTTTATGGAATATAATTGCATTTGCAAAGCAGTTGAAAATTTACCCTGATATCATGCCATTGAGTGTCATTGAGAGCCGGTGTCTTCTCAAATGCCGATTGACCGCGAATTTTGGCGTGTCGGTAGCTTACATGCAAGTGGGCAGCCAACATTTCAAGGCCGACATAGTCTACTTTAGAATTAGTGAAGGCCAGAATGACACCTTTGTTCTAAAAGATTAAAGGAATAAAAGTGTGACATTCATTTCGTTTCCTAGGGACTACATCTAGGTTCTTATGCAAGATTAGGGACGCCAGTTTAAAATCCCATTTGGTTTAGATCAAGTTGGGCAAATAAAAGCATATTTAAATTTAAATGAAAAGAAATTTGTTCCCAGTAAATCAAGCTTCTGATACTTTCAAACGCGTTAGAGGGGTTTTGAAAAGGACGACAACAGGCGTGACCTAGTGGGGACATTTATTGAACCACGTGGCAAGTAATCTTACTTATAGGTAGAGTTTTGACTTCCAATGAGAGGGATACTGTGTTATTATTATTGTATCTTACCCATTGTTGTTGTTGTTGTTGTTGTTATTTCATTAAGGCAAGTTTTTATTTTGTGAGGATTGACTAAGCTTTTTAAGTTCTCCGGTTTCTCAAAACTTTGCTTTAGTTTTAATCTCTTTAACTAATTTTACTAACCCATAAATACCAACCAGCAGTAATTCAACAGCGAGTCAAACACGATATTTAAAAGCCTAATCTTTTGAAGAAAATTCACACTAAGCCGCTTACCGATGATGTTTTCAGAGAAAATTTGACGTTTACACAAATGGCAGTTGTAAGAGAAAACTCCATGAGCGAAGAACCGCCTTGAAATTGCAAGGGAAAAGCGCGAATTTTGTCTTCCTTGGAGCTAATAGCAGTAACTTCTATGTCATCCTTCCACGTATCCAGCAAGGTGACCAGACCGGGATCGTAGGCTGAAAATGTATGCTCTTTTGTTCGGTAGTTTGCAACTTCACTGATTATCTTGAGTATATCTAAGCCATTAAGCTGGAATTGAGATAGACGTCCAACAAAGGCATCATATTGCAGATCCATTCGTTGTATTGATGACTCATCCACAAGGGCTCCAATACAGTCGTAATCGCTATCCAATATGGTGGCATCATCTTTAATGTCTAAATTGAAATGCCGAAGAATTGTTAAAGCCCTTTCATTATCCAAATACACAAACTTTAAAACACTTTTTCTTGTCACTGTAAAATTATGACTTCTAATGCAATAGCGTATCCTATGCAATTGATGCCATTAGATTGCTGAAATCGATTATTGCGCTCTAATGGCAATTACGTTCAGTTCATTACCATGGAGCACGCAAATATTTAGCCCAATGCTTATGTCTCTATAGTGGCTATAATGTAAGGCGATATCGTGCAAAAGATATCGATCAAAGGCAATGTAGTTAAATTGAATGAATTTAATATTTGTAATTTCGTAATTAGAGAAACTTTAGATTTAGCGTATACTGCTAATAATATTTAGCCTAATGTGTGGAGAAATGCGAGCATTTTGTTCCTTCCTTTTACAGTTTGTAAACCAGAGATTTAAAGCGCCTAATTCTAGTAGGTTTTGTTGCATAGATTTATCGCATTATCTTTCTGCAAATAAATTGAGACAAGAGAGGCCATAATGGAGAAGAAGCATTTACCAATTGCTTCTTTGTCTGAGAATGCATTTTCTTATTTGAAATTCAGACAACCACATTGGGGGGGGGGGACCTCGTCAATCCCTGAAATGAACATGTCTTGTAATTTGTTTCATCCCTACTGCCAAGAAATTCACGTTGGAAAGCGAGAGAGTAGCGATGTCAATATTTGGGTAAATTATCACACGACAAGCAGAAAATTTAAATGTGTCCAAGTATGAATAATCAATATATTATTATTATATCAAATGCCAGGCGGTTTGATGGTTATCATTTGCCCTTTAGTTGACTTCAGGTTTCACAGAGGGGGAAGGAACATCAAAGTGGATGATGGTAGTTTGATGTCGTAGGTCAACTGCCGGTTAATAGACTTTTTTGCCGTATGCGTATACGTTGCCCAGGGTGCACCACGTGGAGGTAAGTCTAT